ATAATATCTGTTGAGATATTGCATTCTTACTCACCTGTTCATAAGATAAATTATTGCATGGAACCATGGACTGAATCATATATCGTGTGCTCTATGCAGTATGGACATTTGCTAAAATCCTACTCAATTTATGGTGTAATGTATATGTAGCTCCTGTAAGTTCTTCCTAGATGAATTCTGAATATTAATGTTTGCTTCAAATGTAATATAGCGTTGACAGTCACTCCATTCTTACCTTAAGTTATAAATATCTCAGGCTCTTACTTTCTCTGTTCTGCTAATACAACTTCGAACTAGTTATCTATATAAACTAATTTGTTGTAATAGCCACAGCTTCCATATTCTTAATTTACCTACCTGCTCTTTTATAGAAAAACAATTGGGAAAGCCCCTCTTGTATATTAATTGTATAAAGTTTATTTTAATTTCTCTACCCCTTATGGTTTACATCTTTTGCTAACCAAATAGGAATATATATTAATGTACTTCAACTGGCTATTTTTTTTATTATTGGAATAGACATTTCTCATTGATGTTTATATTATTTTATATATATTACAATTTTATGACTGAATTGTATACCCAAACATCCCGCATCAACGCGTGAGGTGTCAACTAGTTATACATATGTCAGGGATCTCTACAGTTTACTCTGCGGCTCTTCCTTTAGTCTCAGATCCGCTGCTCCCGACATGAGCTGCGACCCGCTACATCGCACCACTCGTACGGTTTCCACCGGCATCCACCACACACCACAATATGGTTTGCTGACCGAAAGCTGCAAACAATGTACTCCCATCAGCCAGCTTTGTGCGCATGATGCCTCACCATGGCCGGCACTCACACCGGGTAAGGATGGTGCTCAGAGTCAGAGATACTTGGCAACTCACACTCTCGAGTAACCACGGCAGCTGCCACAGCGAGACACATTAGAATGTCAGCACTACTAGTCACTATGGATGTAATGAAAACCTTCGAATTATTTTTCTTGTTCGGTCCACTTCTTTTCTGATGCTTCCTACTCCCATCACATCACAATGCAAGACAACTTGAAGAAACTAGATTCTCTTATATATCTACCTCTCCCATTGTCTTGTTGATTGTTGCTCGCCTGCTAATTGCTCCTAGTTGCAACGACGAGAGCCCATATGTATTGTAGTGAAGAAAGATGTATATATATACCCAAATCTGGAGGGATGTATGAAAGAGTTGGACAAGCTAGTTATTGAAGATGATACAAACTGTTATGTCCTGGATGGTTGGTAGGCAATTTTTTTCTGTCGTCTGCCTCCAGAAGTATTTTAAAATTTAAATAGCAATTACTATCACCTTTTGTTTGGAATTAGTATTTAAATTTGGACATGTCAAGACATATGCCATAATTTATTTTGCCTTTTGTCCCATATAACTATGAGATGAAGATTTCCGAGAAAACAAATAGGGGCACCGGCCTAGTACTACGAAAGTAACTAAAGGGCTCGATGCTTGAAAAATTAATAGTATATATTCATAGTTCTATAAAACAAAAAAGAGTGTAAGTAGATAATATCAAGATTCTATATGCATTTCTACGACTGTCTTTGATAAACAATGTGGTCCTAATAACTTATCGATGAGACAACTCCATTGATATGTACGTAGTACAAATAAAATATGTTTTCCTTAGCATGTATGCCACGTCATGTAGCTAGGTAGATGGAAGGAGTACTCAATATCCTAAATAATTATTGTTCCTCAAGAGTATGGAGTTTCTAAACAGCCCATCATGACCTTCTGTCACTACAATCCTATAGGTGCCGGTTGGGAACTGGCTATAAGTGCCAGTTTCCCAGCTGGCATCTTTGCCTTAATCTTATTGGTGTCTGCTTTAAAACCAGCATCTATACTATTAAAAAAAAGATGGCACCAACATTGCTGCCGGCCTTCTCCACCGCCGCCCACCACCACCTCGCCCGGCAACCGCGCCGGAACCTAGCCGTGCCCGCCTCCGTGCCGCCACCTCGCCACGCCGGCCTTCGTGCCGGCGGCCGCCACCCAACGCCGCGCCGGGAGAAAGGAGGCCGGCGAGATCCCGGCCTCCACCACCACCACCGCCACTGTCACCTCGTCGCGTCGTTCTCCACCTCACCCGCGCCGCCCTGGAGGAGGAGAGAAGGGGGAGGGCCCCAGAGCCGGGGGAGGACCGCCGCGCCATCATTCTCCATCACCACAGGCGCTACTTCAGCCGCGTCCGTGCCCTCGCCGGCCGGCCTTCTCCACTGGCGGGCTGCCCTGGAGGAGGAGAGAAGGGGGAGGGCCCCCGGGCCGGGTGAGGACCGCCGCGCCATCCTTCTCCGTCACCACCACCGCTACTCCGTCGCACCCGCCGCGTAAAGGGAAATTGGCGAGACCGCGAGAAAGAGGGGGGGAGGAGAGAGAGAGAGATGGATGGCGCTGCGTGGGGGTGGTGGGTGGATGGATAAGGTCGGCACTGTGGGGTGGTGAGCGGATGGATAAGGCCGTTTTTCTAATAGGTGTCGGTTCTTTTAAAAAACCGACACCTATAGTATAGAGGCCGGTTTTTCCTCTAAAACCGACACGTATAATGTAAATATAGGTGTCAGTTCTATTTAAAAAACCGGCACCTATAGTATAGGTGCCGGTTTTTTTATAGAACTGACACCTATAGTACTTAAAGGTGCCGGTACTATATTTTTTTCATGGTGTGGATGTGGGAAAAAGGTTATGTCGGTTTTAAATGAACCGCCACCTATATGGCTGGTCTCTATGAGGGTTTTTTTTAGTAGTGCATTAAGGTAATTTAGTGAATCATTGTGCTCTCACCAGAAAATTTATGCAGCTTAGCCCACAAGCTAGCTGCTACCAGTCGCAGTCTCGCAGGATTAGGGCATATATCAAGGTAGAGACAGGTATAAGCTCTATGCTATCTAAAGACTAATGTCATGCAACAGTTGTAGATAATATGGTCTTTACCATTAATGTATTAAAATATTTTTTTTCTTAGTCTTCTTTCCTTTCTTTCACCACCGTGCAATAAAATTCGATCTAATAGCTAAGAGTTGACTCTGAACCGTTGTCATGCATAACAACCATATTTCTATTTCCGTTTTTCTTTTTCTTCATTAGTCATCAAATTTACATACATGGTAATAAAGAGACCACTTATAAAGACCATTGTACATGCGCTTAGGAACCAGCCGCAGACGCCTCTTGGCCTACCGATCGACTACGGAGGCTGCAGCATGCCAACTCGCCGTTGGGCCCGTACTGCTCCAGTACGCAGAACATGATGTCAGGCTGGTTGCTCTCGCCGATTGGAGGCCCTGTGCGGGCACTAACCTCGCACACCGCCCTTGATGGCCCTGTGCGGAGGCTAGCATGTTTTCTGTTTTCATGATGCCTCTCATTTGTATCACACAGCGATACATATAAAAGTTTCCCCCTTTTCACCACATTTTACCATTTTCTTCAGGTCCAACCTATGTTTTTCCATTGTTGCATCCAAACACTGCCTTTTCATTTTTATGTTTTACGCATTTTTTTTTACTTATGTCAGATTGAGGAATCCGTAATACCCGATTGTATGCAATTTTTTCTATTCTCGTGTTTAAGATATAAGGCCTTAACATGTGCACATGCATGACTATACAGGACAGTGAGAGGTGCAAGCAAATTAAAAGGAAAAGTAATGGGACAGCACTTGCGAAGGTCCAGTAAAATGACAGAGATACATACCAACTGGAGAACTCTTGAAATTATTATATATGCTCCTTTTTTTCCGTTTGCACTCTAGGTTGAACCATTGTTGTTAATTCTGATATCACATCGAAAAGTTTGTATCCTCCCAATTTAAAGACAATTTCTACATTTTAGGTGAGATCATCATGGAAATAACTTTTGTTTGGCACTAAAACTTTAGCACATCTGATGTACGTGTACATCAGTTTTCTGTTTTGCTTACCATTACCTTGGATAGTTATTTCTTAATTAATCCACGTTTTCTATTCGTACTATTGACAAGCATGGAGTTTTTTTTTTACTGTTTACAATATTACCAGGCTTCATATTAATTACTCCCTCCTTCCCTAAATGTTTGACGCCGTTGACTTTTTTAAACATGTTTGACCGTTCGTCTTATTCAAAAACTTTTGTGAAATGTGTAAAACTATATGTATACATAAAAGTATATTTAACAATAAATCAAATGATAGGAAAAGAATTAATAATTACTTAAATTTTTTGAATAAGACGAACAGTCAAACATTTTTAAAAAAGTCAACGGCGTCAAACATTTTGGGATAGAGGGAGTATATTGCAAGAATGCTTTCAAAATAAGTTTGCATGGATTTTGCAGGGGAGCCAAATGTGCATCCCGTTAAATCAAGGGCAGAATCGAAAGGTATCCATCCCAAAGGTTCAGCAGCAGGTGTTCTATTTCACATCCTACTCAGTAAATTAGTGGTCACTTCTTTCCTGATGCCTCATACTCCCACACATCCTACTCTGATGCAACATATACAGCTTCAATCTCTATTTGCTTTTCCATTATCATGTTAGTTTTATTTCGCTTGCTAGTCGCTACAAAATGCGCTATATATATATGCACCAGAAACTGCAATGTCTCTGACGGCTAAAAACTGTCAGGAAAAAGCAAAATACCGTCAGGAAAATAGGTCCTTACGTGTCATCGTCAGGAAAATACCGTCACAACTAGCTTGTCGGGGAAAAATTAATTTGCCTGACGTGTGTCCGTCAAGGAAATTATTCCTGACGTGAATGCACGTCAGGGTTAATTTTCCTGATGTGAATTTCACAGTCAGTGATATTTCCCATATCACTGATAGGTTTGACCGTCAAAGATATTTTTCTAATTTTTCTGACAGGTACAACCGTCAGGAAAATTGGTCATCCGCTATTGTGATAATTTACCATATACAGGGATGATCCATATATATACATTATCTAATAGCAAAAATGGTCATTATGATATTCATCACAGATAACATATAAACAGCTCAAATTCCATATTTCATTCAGAAAATAGAAAGATCAAGTCCATCATAGAATAGTTCTAGTTCACTATTTCAACATAACACACAAGTTGAACAACTAGAGTTTGCATGGCCTAAGACACCTAATAGCACGTACTTTCAAAGTCTCACACTCCATCTATATGGTTAGAACCATATAGACAAAATATCCAAAAGCATTAGTATGCCGCAACTCCACATTGGTATATCAAAAACCTTAGCCCATCTTGCATGACATGTGCTGTAGCAGCATCAAGGAGAAGCATTCAAACAACCGATACAATTGTTGGTCGATGTTGTTACTGCCACCATTGCTTGAAGCAATATCACATCCATCATTGTTGTGGTAGCCATTGCAGTCAACTTGCTGTGAGCCTAAATGGGAGGAATCAGTTCCCTGTAGCAGTTTGAAAAGTTTATGATTAATTATTCCAATTCTAACTAGTAATAAAAATGCATGCCCATGCAGCAACTAAAATAGCAATAATGGTCATCCAACCCCTGCAGCAAGTTGGACTAATTGTAACTATCTAAACTATTTCCATTTTAAGCAAGATTCATATCATGACAAAAAGTTCTATTTTCTACTACTGACTCTAAGATTACACATAACAGAAAAATACAGCTAATATAAATCAATCACTAATTCACTAATGATTATTACATGATGTCAACAAATTATTCATTGCAATCACAAATTTGCACGCATGATTAATGTAGCGCCCATTCTGTCGTGGCGCCTAGCGGGAAAACTATCTCTTAAAAACTCTATTTGCGAAATCCGTTTCTTTGCTTGTTGTCTAGTGTCCGTGCCATCTCAGATCTCAAATCCCCGATCTATCGTCAAGTTCAATCCCGAATCCAAATCCTTCCCAAATCAAATCCCTCCGCAAAAGTCTATTTAGCCTCCCTCGAGTTCGATGGGCCGAATCCCTCTCGGCCCATCTCCCCCTCCCTCCCCGGCTCCCTCTCTCTCTCTCTCTCTCTCCCCGCTCTGCCCGTGAGCCGCGTCGAGCTCTCCTTCTCCACTCTCGCGGCCGTTCCCGCCGATGCCGCCCAAATCGCCGCGCCGCCCGCGCGCGCGCGCGCCGTGGTGGCCGACCGGCCAGTCGCCGCCGCCGTCAGCGCCTGCCGCGCCTGCCCCGCGTCTGCCGCCCGTGTCGCCGCTCCACTCCAAACCGCCCCGCCGTCATCGCCGTCGTCATCGACTCGGCCCCGCCTCTCCCCGCGCATGCCTCCAAGGGACGGAGGCAGAGCTCCCCCCCTCTTCCGCGTCGCCCTCTCTCCCTCCTCCTTTTCCCCAAAGCGGCAAGGAGGCAAGCCCTCTTTCTCTCCCCCTTTTTCCCTTTTCCCTTCCGCCGGCGTCATCCTCCCCCCCTCCTGTCGCCGTTTTGGCCGCGAGCGCCGAGCGCCAGCTCGCTCCCTTGACCGCCCAAGGTCGGTTTCCAAACCGACATCGCCGCCCTATAAACCCAAGCGCCTCCCTTCCTCTTTCCCCTCCCAATCTTCCCCGTTTCTTGCTCGCGCCATTGCTGTCTCTCCCGCCGGCCACCGCTGTCGCGTGTGCCGGAGGAGCCGTGCGCGTTAGGACGCGGAAGGGGACTCCGGGCGCTTGCCTTCTTCCTCTTCCCCGGCCCGAGGCCGGAGAGATCACTCCCGTGCCGTCGGCCTCTTGTCACAGCGCCCCGCCTCATCTCGGTAGTGCTTTTCCCCGTTCTCCCTCCTCGATCCATCTCCTCCCCTTAGTTTTCAGTAGTAGCATGTGTAGCCTTCCCGTAGCTAGCTGGCGCCGCCCCGACCGTTGCCGCCGCTCGCTGTGTGCTCGCCGCCGTCGCCGCCCGTGCTCCGTAGCGCCCGCTCGTCGCCGGCCTCGCTCGGCGTAGCTCCGCCCAATCCGACGCTAGCAACGGATTCCCGTAGCCGCGTAGATGCACTCACCGCCGGGAATCGGCCCCTCGTGACCTCATCGCCGTTTCCCCCTTCCCTCGCCGCCGGTTGCCGCCGCCGCAATCCGCCGCCGTCGAGCTCCCTCCGGCGAATCCGAGCCGTTGGCTCGTCTGCCCTCGTCCTGTGCAACATCCCGGTGTGCTCGCCTTCGCCTGTATCGCCATGGTTCGCTCCGCCGCTCGCCGCCGTCGTCCGCCGTCCGTTCCGGCCGGCGTCGTTGTCTACCTCCCGCCGGCCCGCGTGGCAGCCACGTAGGCGCCACGTCGGCGCCACCTCGGCCGCGACTGGATTGGCTGACCCGGCCAGCCGCTCCCTCCGTTTTCCCCCTATGCGCATGGTCCGCGGTGAGCCGTGAGGCTGCGCGTGGGCCCGCCGCACCGCGTCCTCCGCGAACCGCGCGCATGCGCCGCGCCTCCCTCCCCAAACCCTAGCACGCCCCGCGTGCACCTCGCTCATGGTGAGCCGAGTCGCCGACAAGCGGGTCCCACCCGGGACCACGCGGGATGGACCCGGCCCACCGGCTCTCTCTCCTCCCCGCCCGCATGAGCGCCTTGGGCCGCCTTCTTGGGCCGGCCGGCCCATTAAGCTCGGCCGAGCCGCCCCATTCTCTCGGGCCGCGCCCTAGCCGCCCGAGGGAAGTCTAATTTCCCTCCCTCCTTCTTTTCTTTTCTTTTCTTTTTCAAAAAGGATTTAAATAAATCCTTTTCCTTTAGACCAAAAATCCAGTAATCTTAGAAATTCAATATCTTCCCAACCGTAAGTCCGTTTGACTCCGTTCAACTTCCAAAATTCCTCAAATCTCGAGATCTATCTAATGGCACGCTTAGAGGTCAATAATAGGGCTTTATTCTCGCCGTTTGCTGAGTTGTCCCGTTTCGCGTGTAGTTTCGGAGCCCGAAGACCAGCAGTGCGAGGATTTCGAGGATCAAGCTCAAGATCTCGAGCGAGGCAAGCCACCTTTGAACATCTTGAGCCTATATTTGAACTTAATTATGTTGCTTGAAAAATATTATGCATTGATAGGATCGCACTTAGTCTGCTTGTCCCGTCTGCAAGGCAGATTGGCAGACCTACCTAACTTGTTGCATTTGACCCTTCCATTGTAATTGTTATACCATGTTCCCTTGTACCCACCTAGTTGCGCCTCGGTAATCGTGCACTCTGCACTGGTATCGACGGTCGCCCTCAAACTTAAAATCTGAGAAACATCTTGGGTAAAACTTGGGTTTTACAAAAGACTTGGAAAACCCGACACCTGGGTCGGTGCTTGCGAACTAAATGAATTTCCAAAACCGCGGACCGGGGAACGTACCGGGTGTACAGTTTCCCGCTCTTGCACTTAAGGACCGTTTCCTTGGAATTTCATCCGAACATAAGACAAGTACGACCACATGGGTGGAATGGGACACCCCTGGCTGAGTAACTAGCTTATCGGGGGAGCCATGATGCTAAGAGACATGTGGATTCGCCGGGGTGGTGTCGGGGAGGACCCCTGGGCTTCCTGGCACAGTATGGTCTGGGACCTAATCTGGTGTTGGTCTGGGACCCCTCTCGTTGGCATATGGTGAACCTGTGTCGGCTTTCGAAATGCCTTGTCATGAAAGCCTTAAGGTCTCTAGTCGTAGCCGTTCTGCACGGGCTGGATGATCCGGGTTAGTAATGTCGTGTGGGTAAAGTGTACCCCCTCTGCAGAGGTTATTAAAACTGTTCGAACAGCCGTGCCCACGGTCATGGGCGGATGTGAGGTGATTCCTAGCGTAGTTTTGTTTGACTACTGCCTTGTGAAATTTGCTGTTGTGGAATGGGTTTGATGTTTGAAAAATCTGCGGCTGATGGGATCAGCCAGGCCCGGGTGGCCGTTTGAAAGCTGTTGGCCGGGTGCCAATCTTGATCAATTCAAAAGACTGATACATTGCACATACTCCGACCGGACGAGACGCACTGTCTCATCCGTGTTGTTTGAGAAGCACTCCCTTAGTTGTTTCAGAAAAGAGTTTAAATAAAATCAATCGAAAAAAAAATAGCAGCCTTTCCTTGAAGCCTGCATTAAACACTTATTTCCCATGGCTTGCTGAGTACTCCTGTACTCACCCTTGCTCTATATAAATAATCCCCCCTAGTTGCTGAAGAAGATGAAGCGGATCCCGCTGACGAGGAGTTCTTCCAGGAGCAAGCCGGCTACGATGAGTTTTAGGGTTTCGGCCTAGTTCCCAAGTCGCGCCTGTGATGTTTGGTCCAAGTCTTGGCTTCCGCTTCCCTTTTGTAATGCAGTTGTGAGCTCGGGATCTGTCCGCAGCCCAACATGACTGTACTCCTACTCTATAATAAAGAGACCTCTGTTCCTGTGATACTAGCACTGTTTCCTGGGACTGGTATCGATTAACAGGTTAATTTGGAGCGTCACGGGCTAGTTCCGGTCGGGACTAGTTCGGGGCGTGACAATTAACATATGTATATGGCAATAGTGGTTATATCATACTTTAAGAGAAAATCACATTAACAGGATATTTATGAGAAACTTAGAATGCTTAAGTAAATAGCTACACATACTGATGGATCTGTTCAACTAACAACCATAGTTTAAAGGTATTCGGCATATGTTGCAAGGCATCTGTATAAAGCTTACCAATAGAACTCTAATTGGAAAAATAAACCAACGGGTAACAGATCCAGAGAAACATCACCCCAGACCGAAGGAAAATTACTATAAGAGCAGAAAGCATGCTCATAGCACACCAATTATATTGCTCACAGAACAGAATTCATGTGAATGCTATCATTATGTTGCTTGTAATACAATGGTGGATAGTAAAATCATCAATAATTTAGTTTACCAAAGATCTATTAAGGACCGCAAGAGGTGGACACAAAAAAAGCTTACGATACTTTGGCTGAACCCTTTCTAATCCTGTAATTTAAGGTGTACCTGACATTAAAAATGCAGCAACTTTCAGTCATATAAATGGTGAAAATAATTAAGCTGTAGTTCCACTCTTAATTACTGAAATACTAAAATTATATGTTAAAATACTTCAGTTGCTTCAATTAGTAGCTGTGGTATGAGACAATACACATTAATAGTGGCCGGCTCTCTTGTAAGCATTCTATCGTCATAGTATACAAGCTTATTACATTTTCTCATACTATTATAGTAGTGTGAGATGCAGTTATGCTTGGAGCTAGCTACCATCAATTTAACGACAAAGGTCCCAAGTATGTAAATCCTCTTCTAGTAGAACATATGCTGTGGCCATTGCTTCCCATGTGGCCATCCTTAGCTGCATCGAGCCCTCTAACAATTGTAGACAAACCTAAGTTTAGGAAAAAGAAATTCGCTAAAACAATTCTCTGCATACCATGAAAATATGATTGGCTTCAGATGTAGCAAATCTGCCATCATAATTTTCTAGAGATGATATTAGCCCATATCTACATATCTGAAAGAGCTAAAGAACAAAAATATGGCCGGAGCAAAGAACAGCTCAGGAAGAGACATGTCTCGTACGGCAGAAGCAACTATGATGGCATAGAAAAAAAGGTCTGTTCAAGTACAAAATTTTAGCCCATTTGAAAGTCTACATGTACTACTTTTGTTGCTACCCTTCACACAAAAGATATGCTGCTGATAGAATGTAAAAAGAAACTATGCCCATTTCCTTGTTTCCAACACAATCTTCTAGAAAACATAGCAATATAAAATGGGGGCACCAGGAGTAGGGAGAAAAAGAAAGTATGTTTACCTCACATTAGTATTCCTTAGCCTTTCACCCATCCTTTGCTGGTGTCATCCACTAATCCCTATGCATGTCTGTAGTAACAGCAACATTTTTTTTGTGAAAGCTACCATTGTTTATCACTTACTGCAAATAATAGTGGAAATAATTCATCTTACCTCGTATAAGCAGGCAGCATCCTGTTCTCTTGAAACAAAAAGCATCTACTGGCAGAAAAAACTGGGGGTTTGTTCAGCTAGCATAAAAAATTGGGGGCTCTGTGGGTATATCCTTGAGCAGGAAAACTTACCAGTAGATCTAGGGTGCATCCACTGAAAATCGAAAAGGAAAATCAAGAACAGTGAAGAATGTTGTGGATTCATAGAAAAAGAACAGTACAAGAGAGAAACTTACCCTAATAATGAAGTAATTGGGGATTTTGATGCAGTAGCTTCAACCTCGAACAGGGATTTGGTTGCTGGAGTTGCCGGAGCTGGTGGAGGCTGCAACTTTGGATCTGGACTGAGAGATCTGGATAGAGAGGCAGGGGAGATAGTTAGTGGGCGCGGTGGAGGGCACGATGATGCCGGAGATAGGGTGGGAGGGTGACCGGAGATTCTAGTGGAGAGAATCCATGGTGGTTGATTTGGGGGATTAATGGTGGTGAATCTGGGGGAAGGAGGCAGTGGAGAGGGGGTGAGGAGGAAGAAGAGGGGTCTGCTGGCAGCTGAATGGGTATCTGTCCTCAGCTCCTCAGTCCTCACTAGTCTTGAGCCTGACCGGTCAAAGCACACCACAATTATTCTCGCGCGCTCGTCCCGAAATTTTTTTGGCGCGGCAGCAAAATTATTGGCGCGGTCCCTGGAAGCCTCGCGGGAAGCCTCGCGGGAACCCAAACTTTTCTTCTGACGGACAAACCACGTCAGCGAAATTCATTTATCATGACGGTTCCGATAAACACGTCAGGGAAATAGAATATTTCTGACAGTTTTACACCACGTCAGGAAAATTCGTCTAGTCCTGACGGCTGAATAAAATCACGTCACTAAAATATTAGCCCGTCAGAGCTAGTTGAGTTTCTGGTAGTGCGGTGAGGAAAGAGTTGAACTGGTATATGTGTTATTGAAGATGTGACTTCCTGCTATGTACCACAAGGTTGCTAGGTGTTTTTTTCTGCCATTACCCTCGGAGAAAATATTTTATTTCCAAACGGTAATTACTACCATATTTTCGTGGTAGTCTTTTCATTTATTCATGTAATTAATTAGGACAATAATGCAGGTGCAACTGCCTTAATTTGTCCCATATATCGAATAAAGGTTCCCAAAAATGGCATCTGGTAATATCACCACTAATTTTCTAATACTGAAATTGAAGGCTCGACACTTGGCTCGATGCTTGGATTCAACGTTATATATAAATATAAGGCCATTTCCAACCCAATAACTAGGATAGTGTCTATAGCATTAAATAAGCTGTCACATAGGATGAAAACTGATGTGGCAAGTGAATAAATGAGGAAAGAGAAGAAAACTATGTCTTACATGAGACATGGTTTCTACACAACATCCAAGACATTATGTGAGATAAGTAGCATTAAATTTAAGTATGAAATAGTAGTGTTTGCATTGGAAGAGTAGTGTCTAATACTAGTTTCTTGATAATGTGGAGTTTATGGAAACTATGTCTAGTGTTTTGGGTTGGGAATGGCCTAAGCTCGCTATACATTGGTAAAACTCTGTCTCTGATGAACAATATATGGCCCTCATAACAAGTACTTCCGGGGGAGCGCGTATGTGATCTAACTAAACAGGTATATAATAGTCCACGGGAACTGGTGACTTTCCAGGAAAACTTAAAAGGAAAAACTAAGAAATATACTCCCTCCCTCCGTATTTTAATGTATGACGCCGTTGACTTTTTAATCAACGTTTGACCATTCGTCTTATTCAATATTTTTTTAAAATATAAAAATATTTATATCATGCTTAAAGAACATTTGATGATAAATCAAGTCACGATAAAATAAATGATAATAACATAAATTTTTTGAATAAGACGAATGGTCAAACGTTAATTAAAAGGTTAACGGCGTCATACATTAAAATACAATACAGAGGGAGTATTTCCCTTAGGGCACACGATAGCTAGACTTGGATGGAATCAAAGTTCCCAACATGCTGCCAGATGTTAATGTGGAGGATGTACATATATAAGTACATTTAAAGTAGCCATATCACGATGGACCTTCTGTTATAAGGAGATCTTTTGGATATAAGTTCTCGACAAAAAAAAAAAATTATTCAGCCTAGCCCGTCGGCTAGCATGGTTACTGTTTTCGTGATGCATCTCATTCGTATCACACGCATAGAGATTTTTCTGGTTTTATCGCACCGTAGTCTGGCCTCCATCCTTCCTGTTGTGAAATGCTACAAAATATTCTATGATGTGTAGCATCACAAACAATAAAAAAGATGTTCCTTTTTTACAAGTTAGCTATATAATAGGAGTAAATTAATTAAATGTTTAGAGATGGGGGTGATATATATAAGGGCCGGAGGATGAGAGAATGCATTGCTTTTTCAACACCCTCCGTATCTCAGATAGCAAAATACATGGTTGGTCCTTAAATATCTACCAGAGTATCATTTAGATCCATAAACTTATAAAGTACACATCTATATCTATAATTTTGGTTGATGTATCACCCAAGGTCTCAAGAAAACATTTTTTAGATAATGGAGGATTTATTTAAACTCAGTTAATTACATCAAGATGGTACAATCACACTGAGTCACCCCCGGTCTCTGCATAAAATGACACAACCAAAAAAAGAAAGAAACAACTAGGAATATCTCCCAAGCATAAAAGTTTGACAGAAACATCTTAGTGCCTATCAATCCATAGACTAGACCAAAACCCATGTTCCTAGGTAAAAAAAACTCCTGCGCCACCTGGTCCAACTGTCGTGATACCACCACAATAGTATCTCGTGTCCCGGTTTATGGAGGATAGCCCAGATACGTAGCCATCGGGTAACTAAAGTGATAACCTGCAAAGGAGAAAACACCATCTTGTTATCAAAAATTATTTCATTCTTGCTTAGCCAAATGGACCAACACAAAGTTATCGCGCCCATCAAAAGCAGATTCCTCATGTCTTTAGGATACATGATAGCCAACTCCCAAACATATGACTAACATTGCGAGGATGTTTTAAATTATAAGCTAGATGAATTACAAACTACACCTAGCAAGATAAGCGACACTGAAAGAATAAATGTTGGCTGGTTTCATCCTTGTGACAAAAACAACATGTCTTACTACCTTTCCAATTTCTCTTAGTAAGGTTGTCCTTGGTGAGCAATTACGCCTAGCGTTGATACCAAAGGAAGATTTTTTACTTTCACCTTCCAAATGCGTCTATTGATATTCGGAACCCCGGTATGTGTTAGAGCTAGATAATGAGATTTAACCGAGAAGACCCCATTCGGGGTGAGGTTCCAGTGAAACTCATCTTGCTCATGTACCAGAACCAAATCAGCTATGTGAGGCAATATGTTATACCAAGCAGCTAGTTTTTCACCAATTAAATTTAGCATTTAGCCAACTTAGAAATCCACCATGGCAACAAATTTGCGTTTAGCTCCTTGACTACAGATTTGTCCCCAACCCTAGTCCTCTCTACTCTATATCTTACCGTCTTTCTAACCGGGACGGGTTGGGGAGGGGGGAGGGCTAGAGGGGCAAAATTTTGCTCTTTATTTGAAGAAAAAAAATACAAGAGTCTCGCTAGGTAATAACAAATAAATTACAACCACAATTTTCGTGTGATATATAGCTACATATATTATATCTATTTTTTGTTCCAAATTGCCGATGGATAAAAGTTGGATGTATGGAAGTGATCGAGTGAGCCCAGAGTTTAGAAGGGGCATTGTCGGTTTCATAAATGTTGTAGAGCAAGACAAGAACATAAGGAACAATCAATGCATGACTTGTCCATGCTTTGATTGTAAGAATGAGAAGATGTTTACCAGCACCGTATGAGGACAAGCATGACGCATATCTGATCTGTCGAGGATTCATGAAGGGTTACACATGTTGGACAAAGCACGAAGAGCAATAGGCACTGAATAATGGAAGGCAATGAAGCGAGCAGCCTTGTGAACGAGGAAGGACACGAAGATATGCTTGTCGCTTCCCCATTGGGTGGTGATCAGGTGGATGTCGATAATGATACCGATGACACCTCTGCGACGGGCTGAAAAACCTATCGGTGAACGGTGAGAGTTGGGGCCCGACAAGTATATCTCTATCATCGGTCGTGACGGCTACTCGCCAGACACAAATGAGATTTTCACATTAGTGACCAATAATCAGTGATCACACACTTTGTGGTTAATGATGAGGGTTGTGACCCGTTACGGATGACTGGCTCCGTAGTAGTGTGAGGTGTGTTGCCTGCCTTCACAGTGATGATGGCACCGCGGCAGATTCATGGGATCACCTTCTCCTTATCATACTGCATGCATGTATCCCTATGGGGATCTCTGACTACCGATGATCGATCACTGCCGTCCTAATCATCATGATGGGTTAAAAGCAAAATGTTTGCCACCATGTACAGCCACATTAGAGCAGGTACAATAGGAGGCTATAAGCCATCTGCAAACATATTTTAAGTAGATAAATGAGGAGAGAGAATAGCAGCGGGCTATAGATTTGTAGCCAACTGTAACACGGACTCCAAGACGCAATGTGTGTATGATAGGTGGGATCATGTATTAATAGTGTAGTATGTAACTATATATTATATGAATAAGCTATTAGATTAGCTATAGATGAATTGCAGCTAGTAGTTGGCTATACTATTAAACTTGCTCTTACTGATCCAGACCCATCAAATGTGTTTTGGACCTAGGGATTTCTGCTACTGCCAAGGTCTCAAAACATCTCCCAGCCAGTGGTCTTATTCTTGTGCACGTAGAAATTCATGTGGAACGCGATAGTTCTGCTAGCTGGAACAAAGTGTTGAGATTATAGACATATAATGATTTAATCTATTCCATAAATAAATCATGACATTACAGATGAAAACTAGCATGAACGCATCATTAGATCTACACATGTAAACTACATAGTATAACATGAACAGATCAAATATGCGCAACATATTGAACACGTACCGAGGTGACGAAAAGACCGGCTGCTTGGTCGAAACTTTTCGCAGGTGTCTACGAAGGCACGAAACACGCGAGCGAAGAGGAAGGCGAGCCGTCGCGAACGAACAGGGAGCAGTCGCGCGAAGCGCTTCCCAAAAACCTTATTGCCGCCTTCTCCCGGTGCAGGACGTCGAAGGCAGAGGTTCCGGAGATCTGCTCTCCCGATCGCTGGTGCACGCCGGCGAGCGGGATGGAGTAGTCTACGAGCGACGGCGCAGTACAGAGTAGAAGGCAAACCCTAGATTGATTTTGCGTATATACTGCGTGAAGACGGCGGGTCGGTTTATATAGAGAAGGGTCGCTTAATCAGGGCGCCCGCACGATCTCTACTGCGCGTAACCGAACCGGATAAGTCGCGCGTAACTTATCCGGACTCCATGCCGTTTGCACGCACCGGATTTTTCGGAACGTTTCCAAAACAAAAGCGAATCCGAATTTGCAGCAAAACAAAACTGCAAAAGGAGGCTGCATCTGCGCAAGGGTGAGGAGCCAATTTTTCGGACCATTCGACGCGTACGTCGTGCACGCGCTGCCCTGCCAGGCCAGGCCAGGCGAGCGAGCGCGC